TATCCTAGTTTGGATTCCGTTGAGTGGTCTGGAATCCCCTTTGTTGTCTTAGTTTCGTTAAGTGGTTAGGAACGCCATGTTGATGGATTTCGTTGAGTGGTCCGAAATCGTATCATTTGACTTGTTGGTTCCTTGGATTCAATTTCAGCTTTAGAGATGTAGGCTTCGGCCGAACTGTGTCGCTCTAGCCCTGCATTTCGGTGTATTGTATGTGTTATTGATTGGTGTGATTATTGGATGGTGTTGGAATGCATGTGTGGGTGAATGGCAAGATGACTAGAGAATATTGTTATGCTTCGTTAAATGTTCCTTGAGGTGCTACATGCTTGAATTGTGGTATTATGTTGAGACATAGTGAGATATGTGATGAATGTTCGAGTGTAGTAAATGGTGAACTACGAATGACTTGAGTCATATTTAGGGTACGTAGGCAGTCTATCGAGGAAGTTAGATGCAGCCATAAAGTTTACGAAAAATTATTAAGCATTTGGATCTCGAGTTGTGCTTTGCCCATATCCCGGAGGTGAGGTATGTTAGATATACATGTAATTGGGGTCGTCACGTGTTAATCCTGGAAGTGTGTCGGGTTCGGGGCGTGACAATTTATTCACATTGTTACACAAGTCGTCTGCTTGTATATAACATATCGATTAATATCATGTAGCGGTGTAACTGTCGCATTCAAATATTTTTTTGTTCAATGCCTATTTGGGTTATGTATATAGATTATGTTCTTAATCACAGTGGTTATGAACTTGTTTTCCTAAAACAATGTATACAATTACTCCTCCATTTTCAAAATTGAATTGTCTTCTTAATCATCCCATGTTATGGTGGATTGTCTCGTATCCAGAACTTTGGCACATGTGCGTGGACCAGGTGTTAAAATCATGTTCTGATAGAGCATGACTTTGACTTAATTTTCATACTGTTTTTTTTTTTTTATATACGAGAGAGGGAGAGAGAGAGAGGTCCAACGCAAAAAATAAAAATAAAAAATAAAAAAAACAGCTAATTTCATATGAACTTACATCCTATAGAGAGAGAGAGAGAGAGAGAGAGAGAGAGAGAGAGAGAGGTCCAACACAAAAAAAAGATAGAAAAAAAAAAAGAAAAAAAAAGCAGCAGCTAATTTCCTATGAACTTACATCCTATATTTTATAAGTTTAGTTTTCTTACAATCATCTGATTACATTTGATTCAGCGATTTCCTCCACAAGAAATCTGTAGATTTGCACGATTTGCGTCACATGGTTTGTGACGTTTCGAAGTTGTGCCCAAAAATTAGAAGCATTACATATGATACAATATCATAATAAATAGAGCGTTAGGTTTTTATCTTGTTCGAAATTTTTCTATCTTTTAAATTATTGTAATAATTCACGTGTTAGGTTTTCATTTTGTTTGAAAATTTTCTATCTTTTAAATTATTGCAATAATTCACGTGTTAGATTATTGCAATAATTCACGTGTTAGGTTTTCATTTTGTTTGAAAATTTTCTATCTTTTAAATTATTGCAATAATTCACGTGTTAGGTTTTTATCTTGTTTGAATTTTTTTCATCTTTTAAATTATTATAATAATTCGAGCTCTCATCCCCTTAATAATATGAAAAAGCACCATTTTCTATGGTTATTCAATGAATAGAAGTATTGTTTCACCATTTATATCTACCATTTCCTTCATTTGAAGATGAATAAGATACTTTTGGATAAAAAAAAAAAAATAAAATTAAGATTACATTACTTGAGAAAACGTCAAACAGAGTACATAGCATGGCATGCTGAAAGAGATGGTTTCAAATTAAAAAAAAAAAAAAAAAAAAAAAAAAAAAAAAAATCCTTTTACGGATGATCACATGGTAAAAATGTAAAAACCCCGCACAAAGAAAAAGAGCCCTCACACGCCTTCAATTATAGTCACTTTGTTCCATTGTCATCGTGTAAGCACTCCATAAGTCGGTAGTCTCGAACTCTCCCAATAAAAAAACAAACCATTGAACTCTAGATATATATCTTCAAATCATGTTTAAATTAAAAAGAAAATGTTTTTACACACATAACAAACTGAAATTATATTGTGAAAATAATTAGATTATTACATATGAAGGGTCCAGCTACAACAGTACATACTATTGAGTGATATTTCATGTAAAATCTAACCGTGTTGCAAAAAATTATTATATCTCTATATATAAAATTTAGGGTAATGATAGAGAAATTAAATTTGTTAAATCATATTTGCAGACTAAACGATGTGATTGTATATGAATAAATTAAAAGGTAATGCTAGGGAGACCAAGATTTTAAACTAAATTTGTAAATCAAATGATGTGTCACCAATAAGAAACAAGAACCTTAATCAACATTTAGGTAATAATCTAATTATTTACAACAACATCATTTGGTTTAAAAAAAAATGTGATCTCCCTAGTATTACCCTTAATTACGTGTCAAATAACATGTACATGTTTATTTCTTATTGATAAAATAAGCAATTTAATTTCTCTAACATAATCCTAAAATCTAATCGTTAATTTACGAATTACTGAGAGCATATGCCTAAATTCTAATTAGAAGCACCATTTTCAGGCAGGTGGGACCAAACAGCTTTGACTTGATGATTCGAATCGTAGTGGCATACAGTGAGAGCCCCATCGTTGAAGGCTTGTAGGTAATGATGAATGACGATGCAATATGCAGCTGTTTTTTTGAAATGGATGGATTTGAAATAATACTCGCAACCTGTTGACTTCGAAGAATGAAAGAAAAGAACATTAAGCGGTGAAAGGTCGGTAACGAGAAAATTTTAATTGTAACGGGAGCACAAATGGTACGCTACGTCTTTTAATAAAAATGGTGGGAAATTTTATCTTTTAAGTTATTAATTTTTTAGCACATATATCTCACAATTTGTATAATAACACATGATGTATCATCCCGTGTACCTATCACACTGAAAAATCTCTCGTCGGTAACGGATGCAAAATAAAAGAAACTCTGTGGTTGGCAACATAATTAGCATTTTAAGTCCTTGGAATTTGAAACTAAACTCATTATTTTAATTCAATAATATTTGCATAACTTATTTATTAACGTTATAATACGTGTACGTGTACCTATGTTAATGTATAAATCATAACAAGTGTATTAGTCGCTTTGACGAACCAAACACCCTATGCGTAGCAGTGGAGTTAGATTTGGTAATCTTGGGGAGGGGCAATTGCAAAAAAGTTCATGAAAAATTACTCGTAACTTTGTATGTTTGATATATATATTTTGAAGCGAATTTGGGGCTACAAGGCCACAATCACTCTAAATTTATACAATGCTTCACCCTTAACTTAGTGATGGTGTTTCATTGCGATATGAATATTTTCTCCGGATGAGACATATGATACTCACCAATGCATCATGTCATCTGTTTTCATCACCATCTAATCAATTAATCTACAAGAAAAGCTGTCCCCCTAATTCCCTTTGCTATATTATATGGTTCGGTTAACCTTAGGCTGCGATAGGCTTGGCAGTATTCATTTCTTGCATGACAAGTGGGATTTCCGTAGGCCCAAATTTGTTCCTATCTTCTCCACTCACTCAAAAGGAATCAAATCATCGTACCCACCGAAACTTTTATCATCGCACACGTTTCTTTCCCTTATGTTCTTCTTTTTTCTTTTGGATAAAATTTCCATTTTGTTTCATAATTTGGGGCCTTGCATCCACATAAGCATGTCTATGAGATCACAGAAAATGCCACCCCCCCCCCCCTCCAATTACATCAACTTCTTGTTTCATATGAATTACTTGAATTCCAAAAATTGGCCCCATAATGTCAGTAAAACCTAAAAAAAAAATTGATATCAAATACCTCAACCATGACAAAATAGCCGACTATATCTCTTATCACGTATATACAGTCTAGTGACAAGAAAGACTCTCTCCTCAAATTTAGGCTCTAAAAATATATGCAAATCCAAATGCAAGAAACTAATATATATAAATATTCTTTAGAATGTTTATTATTGGTGGCTTATTTTTAGCTATGTCCCTGGAACTCAATTTTAATCTCATTTTGATTCATAAAACTCAAACGTCGCCACTTTATTTCCTGAAACTCAAAATTCGCTTCACTTTGCCGTCTGGAACTCGATTTTTATCCCATTTTGCTCCATGAAACTGGAAAGTCATCTCTAGAAAACTTGAAATCCATTCCACATTGCTTTAGATCTGTTAATTTCTGATGTGGTTGTGACTTGGGTGAGCCAAGCCAATCAATCTCTATTTTATTTTTTTCATCTCTTTAATTTCTTTTAAACTTATATTCTCTAATTGTTGACGTAGACGCATAATAGATATTTACAATCAAATTTATTGCACATGCAACATAGTTTTATTGGGTGTTGCGTTTCACATATATTTTAGGAGGCGATCTATAAGTTTCAAAGAGAAGAGAAAGTCCACAAGTCAAAGTAAACAAATTGTGAATTTTAAGAAATAAAGTTATGATTTCTGGGTTATAAAAGGCAAAAAAAATATTAAAATGGAGTTTTAGAGGAAATAAACAATTATTGGTTGTATATACAAAATATCCTTTTTCTTCCCAATTCTCAAAAAGTATGAGAATGTGAAGAGTGGGAAAAAATTATAAGAAATGTCCTCAGAGTGCGGTCCCTCCCAAAAACTATAGGGTTCCACCATGTAGCCCGCAGAAATGACACATAAATGCATGGGCAGCACAATTCTCATGTTTACACACAACAAGCAAAGACCTAAAAGAGTCGGTGCGATTGCTCTTTGTCCTGCATTTCAGCATTTGCCTCTCTCTTTCCTTCTTACAATAAAAAAATAAAAATAAAAAACTCCAAATCTTTTTATAGCACATGCTGACCTGTCCTCCACAGTCCTGTCCTGCACTGCACTCGCCCCTTCTAAGCTTTGTGCCCCCTACAAATCCCATGGCTTTCTCTTCCTTTCTCATAACTTTATCTTCCTTTGCTCATAACCTTCTGAATTCTGATAAAAAAAGAAAAAAAAATATACAATGTCTGTGTTTATTTGCTTCCTCTTCTTCTTCCTAATCTCCTCTGCAACCGCTTGTGATCGCTGTGTGAAGCAATCCAAGGCAGCCTTCTTCTCCAAATCCTCTGCACTTTCATGTAATATCATGATCAATCACTAATCTCTCTAATCTCTACCCTTTATTTAAATTCTAATTTTGATTAAAACCCAGTTGATGGTTTTGTGAATTATGAAGTGGGTTAATTTTGTTTTGTGGATTTAATGCAGCTGGGGCTTGTGGGTATGGCTCCTTGGCCTTGGGATTTAGTGGCGGACACCTTGCAGCTGGTGTTCCTTCCCTTTTCAAAGGTGGAGCCGGTTGTGGTGCATGCTTTCAGGTAACACATAAACCTAACTCAACATTCTTACTTTACGTAAGGCAGGCAATAGTCTAAACTACTCTAACCTACGAAATGAAAATTTCAAACTGAAGTTCAATAGGCGCACACTGTTCTATCTAACTTGTCTAACTCGAGTCTACCAATTTTCTTATATTGATAACTGAATTTCTGTGTGCATTTTAATGATTTGGATTTTGTTGGCAGATAAGATGCAAGAACACAACTCTTTGTACAAAACATGGGACTATAGTAACTTTGACTGATCTGAACCAAGGCAACCAAACGGATTTTGTTCTCAGCAGCAGAGCTTTTGCGGCCATGGCTCAAAAGGGTTTGGGCCAAGACATTTTGAGACGTGGCATTGTGGATGTGGAGTATAAGAGGTAAGCGTATCCAAGAAAAAAAAAATAATCGGAAACTTAATTAATCTTTTTCTGAATTTAGAAACCCCACCTAAAATTAGATTTGAAAAGTGATCAATTTGGCCTGTCCAGAAAATCATAAAGGTTTTTGTTGCACCGACCCCATTTTTGGGACCAGTACTTAAAATAATAGGGCCTTCCAGACAAAAAATTTGGGCACATTTATGCTAGTAACGGTAAAAAAACGTACCCAATATTAAAGTTGTTTAATTATTTTACTGATTTTTTATTTATTTTTTTGTTCCTCTCTTGTAACAGGGTACCATGTGTGTACAAGAACCAAAATTTATCCTTACGTGTGGAAGAATCAAGCCAAAAGCCACAGTACTTGGCAATCAAAATTTTGTACCAAGGTGGTCAGACAGAAATTGTAGGCATTGATGTTGCTCAGGTTGGATCTTCAAATTGGAGTTTCCTATCTCGAAACCACGGTGCGATCTGGGACACGAGTAGGGTTCCGGCTGGGGCGCTACAATTCCGGTTTGTGGTGACGGCTGGGTACGATGGGAAGACGGTTTGGGCACCGAATGTGCTTCCCGTTAACTGGAAGCCCGGGATGATATATGACACAAAGGTTCAAATCAGTGACATTGCACAAGAGGGTTGCTCTCACTGTGATGATGGGAGCTGGAAATGAGCTTAAAGGATGTTTGTCACTAGTTCACTAAATACACATATAGTTCAGTAGACACCAAAAATTAGATTTCTTTGTCTACTTTTTTTGCTAGAACTATTAACTTATGGGATATAAATTTCATGTTGCTTATAGTTGGGCCTCATTGTGGGAACGCTTTTATGGTTACTTACTGTTTGAATGTTGCTTATGGTTGGGCCGTATGTTTGAAAGGCTTAGGTGCCTTATTCATGACCAAATATTGAAATTTTTTGTAGTAGTATTTCCTAATAGTACTTGTTTTTTACAACCAATTTATATCTTTTTTTTAATATTCTTTTAATAAATGACATTATCTGCACTAAAGCGGTGGGGAAGTGGATTAAGCTTCACAATAGGTTATCAATAATGTGGTTTAAATTCACCTCTGATGAGAATCGAACCTAAGATCTCTCACTTACAAGTGAAGAGAAACACCAATAGACTGTAGTACTTCTGTAGACATCGAAATTTCAGTGAAATAAATGTTAACCAATACAACACTTATTTCACCTATATCATTCCCTCACTTCACCAACAACCTCCACTCATTTCACATACATCATCCATTTACCTTACCTACAACCTCCACTCATTTCACCTACATCATCCATTTACCTTACCTACAACCTCCACTTATTTCACCTACATCATCCACTTACTTCACCTACAACCTCCACTCACTTCACCAAAAAAATGAATCGTGGTGATTCACTCTCAAAGCCTATAAATAGGCTTCTCCATCAAGAGGAATAGACACAACAAAAACCAATTCACAAATACATTTCTCTACTCCCAAACTGGAAGAGAATACTCCCCACACATCCAAAATCCTTGAAGCTTTGAAACTCTAAAGCTCTCAAGCATCCAACCCCCAAATTCCCAAGAATCCAGAAGAATGGAGAAAGCACTCTTCATTCTTCGTCAAATCCTCCTTCAAGATCAAGCCCCGACGGTCCTTGAAGAACTTCCACCAACTCAAGATCAAGCCCCGACGACCCTTGAAGAAAGTGTTCATCGTTCATCTTAAGATCAAGCCCCAACGGCCCTTTAGATCAACAGCACAAACAAATCCACACATCCAATCAACCTTCAAGATCAAGCCCAAAAGCCCTTGAAGAAATCCACACAACCATTATTCAAGATCAAGCCCCGACGGCCCTTGAAGAAAGTGTTCATCGTTCATCATCCGTTCATCTTAAGATCAAGCCCCAACGACCCTTTGGATCAACAACCTCAACAAATCCACACATTCAATCGTTCTTCAAGATTAAGCCCAAAAGCCCTTGAAGATCCGCTCATCCATCAACCTTCAAGATCAAGCCCAAAAGCCCTTGAAGAAGTCCACACAACCATTATTCAAGATCAAGCCCAAAAGCCCCCTTGAAGAAAACCAACTGTTCATTCAAGATCAAGCCTCGACGGCCCTTGAAGAAAACCAACCATTCTTCAAGATCAAGCCCAAAAGCCCTTGAAGATCCGCTCATCCATCAACATTCAAGATCAAGCCCTGAAGGCCCTTGAAGAAACTTCCATCAACCTTCAAGATCAAAGCCACGAAGGCCCTTGAAGAAACTTACAACTGTTCATCCAAGATCAAGCCTCGATGGCCCTTGGATCAACAAATCTACATCTTACGGAGATCGAATCAGATGACCAAATTTGAGAGATCGTAACCCCAAAATTCATTAAACACAAAAAATATTATTTTGTACACGTTATTCTTGTCTCTTATTTTCAGGAATTTTTCGTGTTCACAACTTCGTGACCAATTTATATCTTTTGAACATCCTATTTCTTTGGACATCCACAATTAAGTTTACATATTTCTTTGAACACCCATGTAATTTATAATATTCCCAAGTTATCATTACTTAAAAATAAAACCAAAAAACAAATATAATCTTGTTGCAGTCATATTTAGAATAGGAATCTGATTGTAAGTCCTGGTGTATCTAGGTATATCTTTGAATATTCCCTTTAGTAGTTAATATCCTATTAAAGTTGTAATCCTAGAAGGGTAAGGATTTAACCTATCCTACTACTATAAATAAAGGCACAATGGGGTGATACAACACACACCTCACAATTAAATCTTTCTCTTCTCTCTCTTACTGTCGTCGGCCTCCCCATTTCTATTCCCCTAGAATAGTTCAGTTAAATATGCCTACAACACATTATTAGCACGCTCTTACCAGAAGCTAAGGAACTAAAGGATTGTAGGAGGAGGCTCTCTTCTACAAAATTCAAAGGCTTTTATTTGTTTTCTTCCAATCAGGTATGTTTAAAATAAAGGAAGATATTTGAAACGTCTACGAAGCATGAAAACATTTTCCATAATGCATGAACCATATATGTATATATTTTCCTTCCAATATATATTGTATATGTTTCATATATTTGTCAATATATATATATATATATGTTTCATGCATTACGCAATTATATTGCTATGTGGAATTTGTGAGTCAAAGCATATGAATAAATTAGAAGCAATTTAGGATTTTTAAACCCTAGAAAAGTTGAAAAAAATTATACACACGCACACACACACACACACACACATATATATATATTGGGAACTGTGCGGCACAACCGTCGCACCACCTTGGCACCACCACTGGCCTGAAGCTCAGCCATGTGGAGTACATCATGGCACATTGTCGTTTTGACACCTTTGGACCACATGGCAACAACCTTTGTGTTTTGCTGCGCTAGCCCAAACACCCCAGGCATTCGGCTTGATAAACTTAACGGGCCTGAAGTCCCTTAGCCCAACCAAGAAAGCCTACAGCCTTCTTGGCCCATTGTCCTGCCAGTCCTTAACCCACTCCAGCAACCCAATGCTGAGGTAATTACAATTGCCCCATGATTTGGCCTGCCCTCATCAGCCTATAACTCACTGGGCTTCGCCCTAGTCTTTGGCCCCAACAGCATTTGTTGCTGGGCATGACTTACCCTGACTCGAACCCAGTTTCAGTTGGGCTTCTTAGACCAACCCATGACCAGCTTTTTGCTGACCTGCACCCAAGTTCAATTTTTTGGCCCAATGCTAGCATCTTTGGCTGTTGGGCTCCCCAGACCATACGGCCCAGAGGCCTGTAGCTTTCCTGTGACCCAATCAGCTTACAATCGAACTACAAGGCCCACTCCCGTGCTATTTTTTTGACCCAATGCGAATTCTTGGCATCCCCGCATTATAAATCATGCCTAAATATTTATTTGGGGTACTTTGGTTTACGCTAATTAATTCTAATTTAATTATCACTTGGTTTATCACCAATCTAAGCTAATTTGACCCGTTTGTCTTTATTTTGCTTCCACGATCAACCCCATTTGGTCCCGATCTATTGAATTAATTAAAAATGACCTGCAATCCATTAATCTGATAATTAATCCAAAATTATTGACCTGAAGATCACTTTTGGACATTAATGATTCAATAATTTATTTTTATACTTTGAACCGTTGACATCCTTTCGTAGTCTCGAAGCTCTCACACTTGAGTTCCCAAAGCAACTTAAATCCACTACACTTAAATCAGCATATTGTATTCTGTGTTCCTGTTGGAACCTCTCATTTATGAACTAATCGTTCATAAAACTAAATTGAACCTGTAGTTTCATATTTAGTGCCCTTGAAACCCGAAGTTTTCATTCAAAACTTACCGCATGAAACCTGTAGCTTTCATGCTTAAATTAAACCAATACGTCTATAGAACCTGAATGTTCTACGATGTATGTCTATGGATTACCATATGACTAATTAAACCAATACATCTATCTACGATGTATGTTTATAGATTACCATATGACTAACAATGCTTTTGTTGACCCTCCGTTTTAGGGACATGTCAAACTTGAACAAGCTCGATTTCATTGCTCTAGAAGTATCTGGAAGAAACTACTTGAAATGGGTTTAAGACGTGAAGCTCCATCTTACTGCAAAGGGTATTAGACCCACCATTGAAGCACCTACCAATGACAAACCAGTCGATGAAGCTCAAAAAGCTACTGCAATGATCTTCATTCGAAGACACATCTATGATGCTCTACAAACTGAGTACCTCGCTGAGAATGACTCACGCACCCTCTTACTTGCTCTGGCCGACCGTTTCGATAACCAGAAAGACATCTACTTGCCTGAAGCAAGACACGACTGGCAGCATCTTTGCTTCCAAGACTTTAAGTCCGTGAATGACTACAACTGAAGAAGACCTATTCGACCTTCCATGCCACCAATATTGTCCTGTAGCAACAATATAGGGCACATAAGTTCACCAAATTTTCAGATTTGATCTCTGTTTTACTTATAACTAAAAAGCATAACTAGTTTTTGATGAAGAATCATCAAGCTTGACCCACTGGCTCAAACGCCTTGCTTGAAGCGCATGCGACTAATTCTAGCAGCCACAAACGACGGAAAAATCATCGTGGCCATGGCAATGGGTGGCAAGCCCAACCATGGGACCAAGGTCAACAGAGCCAAGGCCCACCAAGGGAGGAAATTTGACCCAGAATCCCCAACCTTTTACCCTAAGGCCCCAAACTTCAAGAACAAGGGAAAAGCTACCGTTCAATCAGCTTCCACTGAAATGGACATGTGTTACCGCTGTGGATCAAAGGATCATTGGTCATGCATATGCAGAGCTACCCCCAAGGTTATTGCCAAGTTTCATTCTGGTTGTGAGTCTAACTTTGCCCATGTGAAACATCCTGAAGATGCTACTACATCTATAGAGATATCAGATTTTTAGGAGGCATCAGCTCCTATAGACAAATAAATTTTATTCTTCTAGACATGTTTTTAGGGTGTTTACCCCTCGTGGCCAAACCCACTAAGAGTGGCCAGACCCCCTAATTTCTAGGTTTATGGTTTAATTTTTGGACAATTTTTCTAAGTATTTGGAATAACTTGTTTGGTTTTGGCTTATTTTGAATTATGGATTGTTATTTTAAGGATATTTGGGAATTATATTTATGCATGTGACCAATTAAATCAATTTATTTCTAGGTATGTCTAGTGGGGAAGTTAGTTGTCTGGCTGATAGTGCTACTATGCACACCATATTGCGTGAGCGACACTATTTTATTAACTTTGTACCTAAGAGTGCACCTCTGACAACTCTCTCAGGATCATCCAACCTGATTGAAGGATACGGAAATGCCCATATCATATTGTCTAATGATACCGTCTTAACCATTAAAGAGGCTCTTTATTCTTCACGTTTCGGAAGAACGTTATTGAGTTTTAGAGATATTCAAGATAATCAATA